CGGCCCCCGCTGTCCCCGTGCCCAGCTCGCGCAGATCAATAGCGCTCAGCGGGTTTGTCTAATCACAGCATCCTCTCCCACGCGCCCCATGCGTCCGCTCTGCCTCACCGACCTTGAATGCCGAACCAAGCCTGCGGGCTCAGCACTAGCCTCCCCGCTCTCCCCCCGCAGCGCAGCCCTGCTGGGCCGCTGCACAGGGCTGGGAGATGACGGCCACCACCACCAAGCGCTCGTGGCCCCAGCACCTGCCCCGTCCCCTCCACACTGCTGCTCCTCCTGCAAGGCTCCAGCCCTTTGGGAGCTCCCCCATCGTCCCCCAGCTGAAGCACAGAGCAGCCCATAGCCCCGCCGATGCCACGGCACAGAGCATTTATGCCAAATCCTTGCTGCTCTGCCCTTGTGCATCCCGCAGGCAGGGCTCTCCACGCTGCGCTGCCTAGGGACGGGTACTGGTGATGGAGCCTTCTCCAGTCACCTTCCAGCCCGGTGCAGGACACCTCCTCACTGCAGCATCCTGCCTGGGGACGCTCCAGGTCCATAGGTCCCTCAACCCACTCCTGCCCCCTCTCTTGCCCCAGCCCGGGTCGCTGGAGAAGCAGCTCTCCCCTGTACCTCTCGCTGATGCTCCAGCTCAGGGCAGGTGGCCATGTCGGAGCCCAGCGTCACCCACAGCCAGGAGAGGATGCAGAGAGGCACTGGCTGTGGCTGAGGCTCGGGAAAGGGGATAGGGAGCAGCATTAGCATAACTCCACCCTGCGCAGGCACAGCGGGGCCTGGGCGCCCACGGCTCTCAGGCACCTGCCTGGCACGCAGGGCAGCAGCACAAAGAGGGCAGCAGGCCCCGGTGTCACTGGGCTGGTGCTCCTCTGCCCTGCAGCACCCAAGACAGAGGCAGGGATGCCAGGACAACCAGGTACAACCTCCTAGAGATACTAAGGGGCTGCAGGCAGGACCAGCGCGGGGATAGGCAGGACTGGGGGGCACAGCTTGACCAGGCGGGAGAGGAGAGGGGAGCCCCCAGGCCCATTGGCATGGGCAAGCAGGCTGCAGCAGGGAGCAGAGCTGATCCTGGCAAGCTGCACGGGTGGCCATTGGCAGCTTGAGGCTCTGCCTCTCCTGCCATGCTATGACCCAGCTGTGCAGTGGGAGAGCAGAGGCTGAGCCATCATGGACCAGCAAAACACTAATGGCCAGGGAGTCCACGAGGCAGGTCTAGGCTGTGTGGACATACAGGAAGTAGAACCGTGCTCCCGGAGCACCACCACCACCTGGTTTGAGTGACCATGTGTTGGCTACAGCGCAGCAGGACATTCAACCTGAAGAAACATCTCCATCTCCGTCCCGGCACACACCTGGTCTACTCCTGCTCACTAACCCTGGAGCACCGAGCAGCCACCCCAGCAGGGCCTCAGAGCCTCTTTGATGGGAGAAACCCAGTACATTCCCACGAAAGCCTGTTTGACAACTCAGCATTTTCGCATTCAACGGTTAAAGCTTCCCCACTCAACTCCAAGTCATTGCTCTGGCTGCTAATGAGCCTAATGGGACTGGCGGGGAAGGACTGGACTCCCGCACTGTGCAGCTGGTCCCAGTCCACCAGGAAGAGCAGCAGAAGGGCTGAGGATGATGACACAATGGTGGGACACCCACCCTGCAGGTACAGGGCTAACATTAAGTGCTTTAAGTGCCCTGCTGAGCTTCATCCTGCGAAGGATAGTTGAAAGCAGGGCAAGGAGGCAGGAGGCTGAGGGTGCATCCTATCAGTAGAGGCTTATGAACCCAAGTGAAGTGCTGAGCAGAAGTGGCTGGCATTCTGCAGGGCTAATCGAGGCTGCAGGCTCCCTGGTAAGTCCAAGGCTGCAGTTTCTGCTTTGGCTTTCCCAGGGTTATCCTTGGAAAGGGTTAAAGGAGCCCAAGGAGGAGTCTTGGGGCTCCAGACTCCAAGGAGGGCAGCTCTGAGCTGTCACTGCTGGGGTTCGCCTCAGTCAGCTCAGAGAGTGATTCACCTTGATGCATGTCGAGATGCATTGAGGCAGCTTAGGCAGAGAGCAGGACTCTGACTGCGTTAGAGCAGGGTTCATTCGGCTGCTTAAGGGCTGCATTAGCCAGAAAAGTGCTAAAAAGCTCTGAAACACTGGCTTGTTCTGGGGAGGATATGTGGGAAGACGGACCGTGAGCCTGTGTGATGCAGAGACAGGCCCAGGAGAGGCCAATGCTTCTGTGCCAAGTCCTCTGCACCGCAGGGACGAGAACTCCCCAAGGATAAAGGGTCAGGCAGGAAGAAGGGCATGGGGCCATGTTGCAGGGCAGACATGCTACCCCCTTCAACACCCCAGGGTGAGAGAGAGGGGAGCCAATTGCACCAGGTAGGAGGACCACAGAAATACCTGCCTACACAGGGCTGAGCATCCCCATAACCCATCTAATCCATCTTCCTTACCCGATCTTGCTGTCAGCACTCCCCCTGCCCAGCTTCAAAGTTATCCACATGCTGGTAGTGGACACCCTGCTGCTTCCATCTGGCCTCAGCCGTTCCTGGTCAGCATGTCCTCTCAGAGCATGGCTATACCATCCTGTGGCACCCACGGCTCTCCCTGGCTTTTCTTCCATTGAGGTATTTAGAGGCAGCAGTCTGACACCCATCACGCCGCCAGCCTTTGCGGTCTTTCTTCCCTGTCCCAGTCTGCAGCACGCAGTCTGCACAAGATCAGCGCCTTGGCTGAGCTCTGCACCCTAGCCGAGCTCTGAAACATCCCTGCAAGCACACAGCTTTCCTACAGCGGTCACATACATCCACATCTCTGCTCCCAGGCAGAAGGAGGCTGAGCACTGGGCCTCTTAGTCCAAGAGGACCCTCCAAGATGCCACTCCAGGAAAGAGAGGGTTCCCAGCCATTCCAGGGCCAGGCACCAGTTCCCTAGGTCAGAGAGCCAGGCTGAGAGGCAGTCAGGACCTGGTTCCTATCTTATCCTCTGCCCCACCATTCACGGCTGCGTCCAGCCTCTGCACGGCTGGAGGGCACTGGGCCAGACCTGGGCAGCCTCTGCAGCGGGAGAGCACAGCAGGACATATAGCTTCCCCAGCCTGCAGCACGCACCCACAAAGCCTCTGGTCAGCCAGCTCGCACTCAGCATCCCCATTGCCATCCAAGTGACCGAGTCCACAGCTGCCCCAAACTCCTGATGGGAGCCCACCTGCGAACAGGGATTTACTGTAACGAGAGCCTGTCGCTACGCCAGCGCCCTGTAAGAAGATTATACATGCCGCTGCGCACGGGGAGGCCAGCTGCCACGAGCCTCCCTGCCTCTGGCAGTTACTGCCAGGGCTGTCACAGCCCCGGTGACTGGGGCAGGCAGCTCCTGCCTGGAGGGATCCGTGTGAGGTGGCGGCAGGTGGCAGTGAGGAGGCGACGCTGCTGCACAGCCACCGCTTGCGCTCATGCTGCCTCCTCCCTGCCTCCCCTCCCGGCAAGAGCCCCCGGCCTGTCACGTTGCATCCCAGAGAGCTGGAGCGCACCTTTCTACCGTGGCGACAGCTCAAGGGCTGCGAGCAGAGAGGCTGGCAGCTGTGGATGAGCAGGGCACTGTGGCACAGCTTCAGACAGCAGCAGGCAAAGCCTGAGCTGGGCAAACCACCAGACCCACATAAGCATCTCTACACCCTGGCTGCTCCCTGCCAGCCGCTGAGCTTCCTTGGGTGGTTTGAGAAAGCTGTGGGCAGCTTTCGTGTCCAGGACACAGGCTCCTGGCTTCCAAACAACCCGTGCACTCCACGGGAGGCCCCAAAGGCCCCAACACTGCATCCCTGTAGACAACATCACACCATATTTCTGCAGGCAGACAGAAGGAAATGTCCCCACTTAACGTCAGCCCCATAGCCGGGCTGTCCAAAGCTCCCCCGGGGCTGCTGGGAGTAAGCATGTGTCCTATCTAAAGGTAACCACTAGCTGTGCTACCCCTA